TGTTGCGTTTTATCGATGCCCGTTTCTTTTTTTTTTTTTTTTTTTTTTTATATATATATATACTATTTTAACCTTTTTTTTTTATTTCTATATTTTATATTTTTGTTCTTTTTTTTTTGTTTTAATTTCTTTCCAGCAGAAACAAATCGATAAGAAAAAAAGAAAGAAAGAAAGAAAACTTTATTTTTCCATTTCTCACACCCTCATCGTTCGACGATATAGTCCCGTGCGCATCTCTATCATATATATACACACACATACATATACACACACCAAACACATAATTACATGCATATACAAAGAGAATTTATATACGAAACATGTAAGTAGTGCGAGTCTCGGAATGGCGTCATTTTCTTTTCTTTTTTCTTTTACAACTTTTGTTATTCATATATCTTTGTCTTTCTTTATAATATTATTATAATTATTATCATTATATATTATTATAATCCCCTCCCCCCTATCCCTGTTATTCGGTTCCTAATCTTTAAATCCCCGTCCCCCGTCCCTTCCCCTTTCTCTTCTTACTCCTCTTTTTAGTAATAAATATTATTGCAAGTCATCGTAAAGTATAATCCATTTTTAGTGAGTAGTAAATGTATGACGGTAGTATGCCAAAAAAAGAAAAAACAACAAAAAAGAATAATTAAAAGGAAAGAGGAAATGTACAGACGAAGAAGTGTATTACGTGTTCGCTTTAGAAAAAAAAAAATGAAAAAAAGAAAAAGAAAAAAAGAGATAATGTCGAACGTGGAATTGTGAAGAAAAAGATTTAAGAAAAAAAAATGATAGGGGTAAAAAAGAAACAAAAAGAAAAATCTATTTCTATTTTAAATGAGAGAGACGTTATATTATAATGCACGCGAAAACGCTTTACGATTTTAATTGCCACGTGGAGATTCGTACGCGCGAGCGAATATTATTATCGATGAAAAAAAAAAAATAAACATTATCAAGGAACACGAATATCACAACGCAAGAGAAGTCTTTTTTTTTTCTTCGTGAATGAAAACGAGACAAAAAGGAAAAAAAAAACAACAAAATACCATTATCTACAATAATACTTTTATACAAAATTCCAAGTTTCAATAAACAACTGCGTTAATTTTGTTTATTTACTATTTGTTGAAATGAAGGGTGATTTGTTAGAAATTGTATTATTTAAATTTAAT